CACCAACCTAAGTGTGTTCTTCTTTCATTGACCACCAACGTAAGCGGGTTCTTCTTCCATTGACCACCAACCTAAGTATGTTCTTCTTTCATTGACCACCAACGTAAGCGTGTTCTTCTTTCATTGACCAGCAACGTAAGCCGGTTCTTCTTTCATTGACCACCAACATAAGCGGGTTCTTCTTTCATTGACCACCAATGTAAGCGGGTTCTTCTTCCATTGACCACCAACATAAGCGGGTTCTTCTTTCATTGACCACCAATGTAAGTGGGTTCTTCTTTCATTGACCACCAACCTAAGCCGGTTCTTCTTTCATTGACCACCAACGTCAGCGTGTTCTTCTTACATTGACCACCAACGTAAGCGGGTTCTTCTTACATTGACCACCAACCTAAGCGTGTTCTTCTTACATTGACCACCAACGTAAGTGTGTTCTTCTTTCATTGACCAGCAACGTAAGCGTGTTCCTCTTTCATTGACCACCAACGTAAGCCGGTTCTTTCATGGACCACCAACCTAAGCGGGTTCCTCTAACATTGACCACCAACCTAAGCGGGTTCCTCTAACATTGGCCACCAACCTAAGCCGGTTCCTCTAACATTGGCCACCAACCTAAGCGGGTTCTTCTTTCAATGGCCATCATGGTGGTGTGGCTAATGTGCGGTGAGCTGTAGATAATCATTGGTAGTGGGTTCCCCGCGACCTCCGTGGTAATAAGGAAATGCTGTTTTCTATAAATTGAACCCGCCATGTGATCTCTCAGCATAAATCCCGATCCTCCGCCAGCTCGGCGTCATCCACCAGTATGGAGGACAGGCTCGGGACGCGACGCCTCATCCTGACATGACGCTCACTCACACATATCGTCTTTCTTTATGCCGAGGAAAGAAGAAACTTTTCACCGTAGATAAGCTAATTGGCTGCCGGAGAAAAGTCCCCAACTACCACGTCACTGAGATAACCTTCAGAAACCTCAAAATATTTCACTCGCGGTTATCAGAGCCGGCCAGCGCCAAACTAAACACCAGCAAACTGCGCAGCTCCGTGTCAGCGGCTGAGGGTGAGAGAAGGCCGCGAGTGCCGCCTATGAGAAGGAGAGAAGCTGGTTTGTTTATGCCGCCGCTGATGTCACAGGGGAAATGGAGTGTCGGGTTTGGGGCCCAACCTCTGACCCCTCGGGATTTTCTGTGTGACCCCGGGGACTCCTTCAGACAGCAGTCTGTGCTTCCTGCTTGCCCTGTAATAGCAGTGATCTTATGTAATGTGTCCCCAGTCTCTGACCTTCTCCTCCACAATGTCTGCCGTCTCTGACCATCTCCTGTAGTATGTCTGCAGTCTCTGACCTCCTGTAGTATGTCTGCAGTCTCTGACCATCTCCTGTATCATGTTTGCAGTCTCTGACCATCTCCTGTACCTGCAGTCTTTGCTCATCTGTATCATGTCTGGAGTCTCTGACCATCTCCTGTACTATGTCTGCAGTCTCTGACCATCTCCTGTATCATGTCTGCAGTCTCTGACCATCTCCTGTACTATGTCTGGAGTCTCTGACCATCTCCTGTACTATGTCTGGAGTCTCTGACCATCTCCTGTACTATGTCTGCAGTCCCTGACAGCTTTTTGTAGCAATGCATTGACTGAATCTTATGTGCGGCCCTTAGGCGATGTGAGTGGCCACACAAAAGGCCCCCTACATCAAGAAAGTTGACTACCGCTGTTTTGGGCAGGCCGATCCTCTAAAGGAGAACACACAAACATGTTGTTTTTTTATAAATTCAACCACCTGGAATATCTCTTTTATGTATTTATTATGTTTGCCCACTAAGACGTCTCAAAGGTTGCACCCCCCATACCGCCTAAACCCCTCACCCCCTATACCGCCT